TTTTTTTTCTCTACCAGCCAGACCGTCAGACCCTGATGTGGAGCGCCACCTGGCCTAAGGAAGTTCGTCAGCTGGCTGAGGACTTCCTGAAGGACTATGTCCAGATCAATATTGGAGCACTGCAGCTCAGTGCCAATCATAACATCCTGCAGATAGTTGATGTTTGCAATGACCTTGAGAAGGAGGACAAGTGAGTAAATGCTTTATACCACCCTTAACGAGTGCTTAAACATGAAAAATCCATGTTCTATATTTAATTATGTACTGTAGATAAAGAAAAATGTCTTATTAAATCTAAAATGGCTCTAATCGTGTTGTGTTCATACCTTCTTCATAGTATTTTAGCTTAACCATTTAGACACAAAACGTAAATTTACGTGCTTTAAATTGGTAGAGAACTTTATTCAGCCAGTAGATGAATAATGAATAATGAATAATGAGACTTCCTCTGTTGTCTGCTCTCTGTAAGACTGATCCGTTTGCTGGAGGAGATCATGAGTGAAAAGGAGAACAAGACCATTATTTTTGTGGAGACCAAAAGACGTTGTGATGAGCTCACCAGGAGGATGAGGAGAGATGGGTAAGGAGTCCATATCCTTAATTTTTTTCTAATCGTATTTGACCAAAATCTCATATCCCGATATTAAGACATCTATCATCCGATAACGATATAAATCACAAAAATGTAACATTTTCTGTAAATTCTGTGAATCTCGGGCAGCTCGACTTGCGTGAAATGTTTCCAGCTAGGCGTCGCGTGCCTGGAGTCGAGTGTTTTAACTGATGCATGAAACTATACATTTTTTAGACATTTTTCTGTTTTCTTTGTGAGTATTTATTAACGGCGTGCTGCGGGAAAAAGCCTGTTCTAATGTTTGAGTCTAAGGTTTATTTTTTAGCACCTGACGGCTCTTTTTTGCTTCTCATCCGTAAATACTCTGCATCTTTCACGTGATTCAGTTTATTTTTTAAAGTCTGAACAGGATCTTGAGCTTTATTGTGAAAGGTTTATGTAGAACATAAACAAGCAGACACACAATGGTGTTACCGTCGTTTTTGCTAACGACAATGCATAAAAACAAGCGCTTGTCCGTCCATAGTGTGGTTATATTAAATATAAGACAAAGAGAGAACTTTAAGAAATTAATATAGCCACTACAGTGACCATCAAAATAATGAAAAAATATTGCCGTAAACAGTTTATTTTGTGACACCACAAAACAAACGATAGCGTAAAATGCAACGATAGACGTTTTTATATCGTCATCCGATATATATCGTTATATCAAACAGCCCTAATTTACAGTCAAGTTCGGCAAATATTTGAAGCAACATGTGTCACATTTGCTGTAAATATACATGCAGGTTTTGACCCAGAAACACATAAAATTAAAGTTACTTTAGATAAAGGTTCATATTAACTGCCTAAGTAAGAGCCTATAGGCATTTCAAGATTGCTGCAACACATGCTCCTCAGTGGACTGACAGTGGACTAATCTAGGCTGACTGTGTGTGCGTGTGTGTGTGTGAGACAGGTGGCCTGCAATGGGAATCCATGGAGACAAGAGCCAACAGGAGAGGGACTGGGTCCTTAACGGTAAGATATATGATTTTGTGTTAATAAAATGGATCTGGGTTTTAATATTGAAACAATCATTGTTACTCTATATTTTACTAAATTAAGTCCCTTTCCTTCCAGAATTCAGATATGGCAAAGCGCCAATTCTCATTGCTACAGATGTGGCCTCCCGCGGCTTAGGTCAGTATGGCATTGAATAGTACTACTTTATTATCAGTGTTACACTTATTTTAAAGAAAGTGCTTTTGCTTTCTTTAACTTTTCTATGCATTTTCTGAGTTTTTCTCACCTTAAGGTGGAGTCTTTGTGGCAGGCGCTAGGCATGACAGTCCCAGGCCTCGAGAGGGAGCAGGATGACATATTGGAATTGCTCAACTGGCTTGCCACCCAGTGGGCCTAGAGAGGTGAAAGCTCTTGTGTGCCAGTGATCTTCAAAAGGCTGTGTGGCTAAGCCTTTGTCTCTGATATGTTGTTGAAAAACGCTCACATCTGTTCTCTGTCCATGGATTTCACCTGACAAATGCCATCCAGCTGTTTCCAACTCAAACGTTAAAAAACAGAGATATGCTTGATGCTGTGACTTTTGCCTTGCATGCTGTTGTGTTAGAGAGCGCTGTATTGCAAGTCACTTGTTTGAGATTTGGAACAATTGTTACCTTTCAGAGCTTGTATCACATAGCATGGGTGTGAGCTTGTCAAAGCTTTCAGTTGTTTTCTTTTGCCGTCAAAGTGCTGGATTCCTTCAAAATGGAGAGAGCAGTTTGAAATCATGTCTCTGAAAATTGAGGAGACCTGGCACATGTGTTTAGGGGGTAGTGGGAGCATCTAGTGAGTGGAAAAAGAGAGAGTCAGCTCAAACCAAAGTTCCTCCCTCGCCTGCGTTTTATAGTCATGTCGAGACCTGCCAACAAGAGACATTTTCTCAAGTGAACACTGGCTTCTTGGAAGATCTTGCCTTGATGATACTGATGAAGGGGGTGGGGGTGGTGGTAATTGTTCTGTGTTCGCTCAGGGGTCCCACAGGGTTCAATGTTTGGCTCTTTTTCATGGTTTTTGAAGCGGGCCCCTGTTTAAATTAGTACTCGGTCTATTTTGTCTTGGCAAGACGCGCAGTGCGGCCTTTAATAACAAGTTTCTTTTGAGAGTGTACTGGGAAAAGCCTGGACATGCAAAAATGTACCACTCAATGGTCCTATATTGGCACGAGGAGGCCCCAGTGCATATCGTGGCCCAACTGCGTAGAAGCTCCTGGATGTCACTTGACAATTTGTGGGGGATTTCGCTGCATTGGGAAAGGACTAGTGAATGCATACTCCTTAATGGTAAGACTTAAATTCATTTTTTTTTCTCCCTTGGTTAACAAAAGGGAGAATCATGTCTTTTGATTATGGTAAGCAACTGGAGTGTGCATCGTTTCTCTCTTCCCACAGTAGTATTCCCATGGAGTAGACTTGTACGCAATTCTGATGTTTTAACGTGTTTCCTCCACAGGCTAACAGTCGCCTTTCTTCCCCAGCCTTCCCAGTTGCTAATTTTTCCCTTTGATCTGGCTGTTGTGGTGTGCAAAATCCTTTGTGGCCTCCTTGTTTTGTTTTGCCACACTGCAACACTTTCACAGATGTGGAGGATGTGAAATTTGTCATCAATTATGACTACCCTAACTCTTCCGAGGATTATATCCACCGCATTGGACGCACAGCCCGAAGTCAAAAAACGGGCACAGCCTACACCTTCTTCACCCCCAACAACATGAAACAAGCCAGTGACCTGATCTCTGTGCTCCGCGAGGCCAACCAGGCCATTAACCCCAAGCTGATCCAGATGGCAGAGGACAGAGGAGGTAAAATATCATTCTTATTTACATTAGGATTTAAACGTGAGCTAGACTTACTGACGAGTAGATACTCAGTTTTTGTTATTGATCAGTGATGTTATTAAAGAGGCGATTTAAAGTGAACCAATTAGTCTTTTCCAAAAAATGAGATCCAAGTATCAGGAGTTAGTCTCTAAATAAAAGTTAAATGGTTTAGACTGCTGTAAACACTCAGTTTTCGTTGTTCATGGACCTATACAAGAGACGGATATGCCTAATATGGTTATTTCAGGCATACGCTGGGACAGCTTCGCCAACACCTTATGTTTACTCTCTAGCATCTGGTTGGCACGTCTCCATTTTAGTTCTTTTGACATTTTAGCATCAAAAATAGGTGATCAAGAATATATTTATTGTAATTATTATAATTTTTATTTCATATTTGGCCATTTAAAACTCAGTTATAAAACTGAAGGTTAGAAAGGTTTTTTTTCTTTTCATATTTTAATATGTTGATTGTAATTGACTTCTCTCATTCTCTCTCTCACCCCACCTTCCGCCACGGGGCTGCACCTACAATTTGTGTGTGTGTTTGTGGATAAGAGAGAGGTGTTATTGTCAAGGAAAAGCATAGTAGTTCCACTTTAAATGTTGACACAGCATACAGGTGTAGCTACTCCAGTACAGTCCAAGAATGGATATTAAGAAAGAAAAATAACCATGAAATGTTGCTTATTATAATGTTCAAATCTGATTTTATGGGGAAAATAAACTAACTTCAAAGTAGAGCTCTAGATTTTTATTATCCTTACTGAACTTTGCAATTCGTTCTTCTATCAGTTATTAGGTGTTTTTCCTTATATTTAGATCTAATAAAGTAATTGTGGTACTTTTTAATTGTGACTTGGTTTTTTTTGTTTTGTTTTGGGGTTTTTTTACGATCTCATAGCAGCCCTGATGCTGGTTTCTGTGTCTTGGTGCCACAGCCACGGTGTTTTAACCCACCCTTCCTTCTCTCTCCTTTGTCTCACACAGGTCGTGGAAGGGGGGGAAGAGGTGGCTACAAGGATGATCGTCGGGATAGGTATTCTGGGGGTGGGAGGAGTAACTTCAGTGGTAGTAGCTACAGGGACAGCGACAGAGGGTTTGGCAGTGGGCCGAAGAGCTCCTTTGGTGGCAGTAAGGCCCAAAATGGTGGCAACTATGGAGGCAATAGTGGTAACTCTAGTGGTAACTATGGTAGCAGCAATTACAGCAACAGCAATGGACAGGGTAATTTTGGCGCTCCTACAAACCAGGTGGGCGGCTTTGGTAACCAAAGCTTCCAGGGTCCCCCTCAGTTTGGGGGTATGCAGAGGGCCACTCAGAATGGTATGAACCACCCACCATTCCCATTCAACTCCCAGCCGCCGCCCCCACAGGCCCAGCAGCAGCCGCCACCACCACCAATGGTGCCCTACACCATGCCACCACCCTTCCCTCAGTAGATATGATATATGCACAATAAATGGAACCAACATGATTTTTGTTTAGTCCTGAAATCTTACAGTATGATGATCATTACTATTATTATTATTATTAATATTATTATCCTTTGTACTGTTTAACTTTGTTTTGCTTACAGCAGGGTTGGAATTATTCCGTAAACCCAGAGCATTACATGGAGTCATAAATATGTCTCCTATAGTGCAACCATG